TGCACCAGATGTTGTGGATCGCATGCCGTTAATCACAGCCAACTCGGCGCTAGGGTCGACTTCCAGTGTTTTTCTAATGAGTAGGATATGAAAATTTATTCAGTCACTCATATAATACTCATTATTTGTATTTTATATTTGAAACCAATGCTCTCTCAGTGTGGTTAGAAAAAAAGTGCACGCTGCTCGGCACAGTGAATGACCAAATTAACCAATGTAACCTGTCTCGTAAAAGGATAAGCGGTAGTGAGCGGTTTCATGTTTAGATATGGGTAGTGGCAGAGGTGGGGCATAGTTTGGCTGCTCGTCAGGTCGCATTTTGGGTGTTTGAATCCTGCCATTACTGTTTTTGTATTACATACCCTTTGAGCGATGGAGAGCAACCGGAGTACATATCATAGTCAGTCGGATCTATGGTTCACCCAGGGAAACCGGAAACCTAAGCCCTAGGATTTTGAGCGTCCAACCAAATTAGATCCTACCGGACGACCGCAAAGCTGCCTACTATAAGTCTGGCGAAAAGGGGCAGAGTTCTAGCCTTGGACCGTAGGTCCGAAAGCACGCCAGTGACAGAGACCTAAACCACTTGGCCAGCTCAACGCTGCCCTAATTCTCCACGCATTTTCAGTGGTCGAAGATTACTTTCAAACCATCGATTGTACCACTGCTGTACATTCAATAGGCGGAAATAAAAATACAATTATTATTAACCTAGCCCAACGATGGTGAAATTTTCACTTTCAGTTTTCGGTTTGTACAACCATTAATCATGCACTATCGTGCACGGTTTCGGTTGCTATCTTTCGGCTGCCCATTAGGATGAACATTAAGAGAAACAATGGGAAAATTGAAAGTAGGATCAAAGAGAAAATGGAAAAGTTCAGCGGAATAATGATACAGAAAAATTGAGAACGCCAATGTTAACGACACCAAGCGATATCACACAGTGTCTCTAACCATTGGGTACGACCAACGCGAGATCCCCAGCCAAGGAACCTAAAGGGACCTGTGTGACCCACACTCTTCGTTGGGGTTTTCAGACTCCCAAACAAGGTCATAGTTTTACCAAACCCACCAGATTTCTGCAATGCTGCTTGACAGCCATGTTCAAACATCTACAGCCTACCTTTGTACTGTTTTATGAATAGCCAACTTTTTGCTCCATATGGCAGAACTCGCCCAACTGCGGCAGCATAAACTCGACCCTTCACAGACAGCCGGATGTCGCGACGGCGCCACAGACATCTCAAGTTGACAAATGACAACCGAACCTTCTGCATGAGCTGACACTTCATCCGTGGTGCGTCCACCGGGTGAGATGTAGCTGCCCAAATAACAAAACTTATCCACCTGCTCTATTACTTCCCAAGTTAGAGTGAGTCCGTGTGCTGGATCAATCCAGTCTTGTAGTAATATTTGACACTTTGAAGGTGCAAAACGCATACCATACATGGCTACGCTGGCACTCAAGTTATCCAGAAAAGCTTGCAACTTACCTGGGTCTTCACTTAGTAGCGCAATGTCGTCTGCATACTCCGGTCATACGGTCTACCACCTGAGAGCGAATCGATGCCGCCATCCTCACATGAGGACAGGGCAGTTTCAAGAATTAAATTATAACAAAGTGAAATAGAAACGGAGAGAACGAACACCACTTTCCTTGGTGAACTCGGGCGAAAAAGTGCCGTAAGCTCGGACTCGGCTTCGGCAGTTACCATAAAGAGATCATACTATCGAGATTAACTTCTCGCGGAAAGGCAGCGCCAGAGTTTAGAGCAATCGACTGAGTAAAAAGCCGCTTTCAGATCGAGAAAGACAGAGGTCGTGGGTCTACAAAAAGAATGTCGGTGCTCCAGAGTTTGGCGAAGAGTGAAGATGTGGTCGATACAAACTCAACCAGGTTTAAAGCCAGCCTGGTTCTCATTCGTGCACTCTTCACGTGCGGCAGACCATCGACGGAGTATGATCCAAGCGAGAAGTTTAGAAGTAATGTTGCTTAAACTAATTCCTCTGTGGTTTTCACAGGGGGATCTGCCACCTTTCTTGTAAATCGGTATGATCACCAATTCACACCATTTAGTTGGAACCTTTTCCCTCTCCCACACTGAACCCAGGAGACGAGACCTCCATCCTTAAAAACCGATGGGGAGAGCTGCTCGTGAATCAGTGTGCCATCGGATTTCTTAATTGCCTCACGCTTATTTTCCTAGGACCCGTATTCCTAATTAGACTATTACCAATAGTCGCGTGTTTTCCCATCTCTTTCCATTTTCCTATCCAGCACTTCTCGCGGTCATTTTTCAGACTCTTGATGACCTGTGGTTGAGGGATTTGCGGGCTGTGTCACATGCGGCATCAAAGGAGGGGTTCTGTGGGTGTCTCATGCACCCAATCAGACAAACGGAACGTGGACGGGACAGCACCTTATTGGCTGGGGGCTGCCCAGTTTGGGCGGGCGGTAGCTGTCCAATGAAGTGCGAAGACTTCTCCCACCGTCGAGAGGAAGCCCCAGGTACCCCGCTCCTACGTCCATCTAGCGGGGGTTTGTTGACCGGTAAACTGCCCCTCACCGTGTTTATTTGCTGGAGTGGCTTCTCCAGGGGCGGGTGTGGATAGAAGAAAGAAGCCAGGGGGTGCCCAAGCAGCTGAGCTTGTGAGACTGATCTTCGTCTGGCCTCTACCCGTTGACCTTTCAGGCATGATTGGATCTACAGCTGTGAGGAGCCATCCTGTATAGCTCGCAGGGTCATGGAGGCACGCAAGCCATCACACCAAATCACTACGGCTAGTTAGGCATAAGGATGCACTAGCTAAACTGATCAGGTGTTGAAATCACAGCAACACAGGCTAGCTGAATGAAATCTTACATGTCAATGAACGGTGCGGTGAACAAGACACACTGAGTAGCTGTTTCGTCCTTGTCGGGTTTCAACAACAGTGCGCACTACCTCTGTACCCCTGAAGGTATTAAAACCATCAACGTTCGGATTAGAGCCAAAATCCCAGCACCCAAGATACACGAACGGCTGGTTTCGACTTCCAACAAGCGGGTTCGTTATTTGAGTATCGGTCAGGACACAAAACAGTACACATTACTGATGAGTCCGAACAACGACGAAACAGCTGTCCAGTGCCTTTTGTCGATCACTACATTAGTTCATAGAACACAAAAACATTTAAGTGAAAGAAATTAACGAATCCCCAGGGAATGAGACCCGCACCAGAGCTAAAATACACAAACTCCGATATCTGTGAATTTGCGTGGACAAGTTCCAATGTAACTCACTGAATCCTTTGCTGTTGATATTGTTGCTGTTCAGTTTAGAATATTTCTCCTTCTTACGGGACGAGAGTCTCGATCGTATGGTAGGGGGTGCACCATCCGGTTGAGTCATCGCTGCCGTCCCCGCCGCTTCTTCTTCCTCCTCGTCCTCGTCGGAAGAATCACGTCCCATACGAAATTCACCACGATCGACATCGTAACGAAAATCCCGATAGTAGTGCTTCAAATATTCATCTTTTTGCTTATCGTTTTTCCGTTGTCTAGATTTGTAAAGCTATTGGTATGACAAAAAAACGACGCACGGGGGAGGGGGTTGGGGAAGTGCGAATGAGAATACGAGTAGACACCTGGAGCTTTTAAAATAATGAACTAGACTAGAGAGAAAGCGTGTGTGCATTAGAATTTATGCATAAATGCCAGTGAATGGTGCGCAACACACACATACACACAAGCACAGTGGTGATGGTGGTGGTAGCGGCTCCCACCAGCACAGACTCTTGAGGACCGAAGAACTAACTGTCGTCGTTGGCACGCTTCGATAGGAGCTAACACAGCTTTTGCGCAACAGAAAACACTACATCGAACGAGACCCGCACCCCCCCCCCTCCTCTTACTCCCAAGGTTAAATTTGACCATAATTCACTCCAAACAGTGTATTATTCCAACCAAATGATCCTTTCCTTTACTTTAACAACCGACAACAACAAACACCATCAGTTTAGCGTATCTGCGTACGTTCGGATCAAAAGTGGAATATATATATGTCAAAGGTGAATTCGTCGTGTATAGAGCAAATGAGACGTGAACCGAAAAACTAGGAAGCACTGTACAGCTGTTTCGACCTGGACGGGTCCCATTAGCAGTGCAAATTCATCGATCCAACTGGGGATCGAACCCGGGACCTCATGGGCAGAACGCAAGCAGGCTACCCACCCGGCCTCCGGGTGACTGATGAGATCGTTTTTCATTTTTATTTTTCCGATATAGCACAACCCATCTTTGCGAGCTTGTTGTGGGCCACAGACACTGCTCATCTCAGCACTGGCCTCCGAGTTATGACTCGGTTGGAAACATTCACAAACTTACTACTCATTTCAAATGAGTAATGGGGGATGTGCTTAAAGTTCGAAGGTGAAAAAAGGCAACCAGTCTATCAGTTTGGTCTCACGCCTCTGAAACTTGCGGGTAGCACAAAGATGAAAAAAGATTAACGAAGTATTTACTATACATGTCCAGCTGGATATCGATACAGTGATGCTGAGACTACAAGTCAGGCAATAGTTAGTTCATTACAAGAAATGGCACAAATGATCGCCTCCCTCCACAGACTAAAAAAGTTAAAATATAATTTGAGATGAGTTGGAGATAGAATCTTTTAATTAGTGACGGTCAACTAGACGAGAAAAGACAGAATCAAAGGTAGGGGAGAGAGACAACCCACGAACTGACGAACAGGCGTAAAAAAACCTTACCGGGGAACGGAATCAAGTAAGGCGTAAGAGTTATCTAATAGGAATAAAACCTCTGAGCTAGTAGCCTGAAATGTCTTTTGTGCATTTTTCATTTGTTTGATATATTTCAACCCTTCCTCGGTGTAGGCAACCCCGAGGGATGTGGTCACCGAAACTCATTAGGCATCCATCTGAAAAAGAAATTCTTTCCCATCTGTCTAGTTCTTCTTCCTCTCAATCCCGAATAATCCCAAACGCCTCTTGTTTACAACACCCATCGGATGTCACTCTGTTTTACTGGTAAGGCCAAACAATCAGAAGTTACATGATTTTCGAAGCCAAAATTCCCTTTTCACTTAGCCGCGTTCAATGTCCGCACACTATCAGATTGATCAACAAGCTGCCTTGGCTAAAACCCTTGGAACTTTCAATTTAGATGTATGCTGTGTCTGCGAAACGCGCATACAAGACCCTGCTTCAATCACCTTCCTACGTTCTCCTAAACCAACCTTATCCTCACGCTTCACCCTTCGTGTGTCATGCGATTCGGCATCCGAAGCTCGAGGTGTTGCTGGTGTCATGATTGCGCTAAGTGCCAAGGCGGAGCGCTCCCTTCTTGACTGGATTCCAGTCAGTAGTCGACTGTGTGCTGTACGGCTCAACGGTTCAGTATGGGCCAACAGATACAGAACGAAGCGTCAATGTCTATTCGTCGTGTCGGTGTATGCACCGACCGATTGCGGTACACTTGATGAATTCTACAAGGACCTTTCTCCATTACTCCAAAGCGTTCTATCAACGGACATCGTGGTAATCGCCGGAGACTTCAATGCTCAAGTGGACTCTTTGGATGAATCAGAAAGGCTTTTTGGCGGTCCACTTGCATTCCCAGTCAACCGGACGGACAACAGAGATCGCCTACTTCAACTCTGTGCCGACCATGGACTGTTCCTGTCAAGCACGAACTTCTCGCACAAGAAACGACACCGCCTTACATGGAAACCACCAACCTCTTCACAGCGCTGGACCCAAATCGATCACATCGCCATCAGTAACCGCTGGAGGGGGTCGATTCAAAACTGCCGCTCTCACTCGTCAACACCTGTGTATACGGACCACGCTTTGTTACGAGTCAAATCATCCTTACGCCTGGCAAACAACCACAAAGAGGCTATCGGCAACAGATACCTACGACACAATGTTAGCGAATTGCAAATCGGCCTTCGAAGCAGAGCTCTCCGATCGCCTATTAGTTCAACCACCAGCCGAAGGACCCGATGAACGCTGGAAGCAAATCAAGGAAGCTATGCAAACGATAGCGGACTCTGGCGCAGGAATAAAACAAACGATGGATCTCGTCGACCTCGGCTGCCCTGCTGGACGCCCGCAGAACCCTTCGACTATTGGTAATAGTCGCACTGTCTTCCGTCTAACTAGGAATACGGACCCCAGGGGAATAGACTTAAGTGAAGTAAATAAAGAACCTGATGGCACACTGATTCGTCATCAGCAACGCCGTCTTGATCGACCTTTGTGCTTGTATTTCACACACGTCTGAATCCAGGCTGTGTACCAACGAGCTGAACACTTCGAGGCTCAGTTCAACTGACCCCCATTGAAATCTAACCTGTCAACCCCACCTCGACTGGATAAATGCTCCCAGGTTATGCCAATCCTCTACCTAAAATAGAGGATTCCTGGAAAATAAGTTATCTCAAACGACATAAGGCCTCCGGCCCCGACGGGCTCTCCCCATTGGTTTTTAAGGATGGAGGTCTAGCCTTTGTTTTGGAGTTAACAAAACTCCTGGGTTCAGTGTGGGAGAGGGAAAAGGTTCCAACTGAATGGTGTGAATTGGTGATCATACCGATTTACAAGAAAGGTGGCAGATCCCCCTGTGAAAACCACAGAGGAATTAGTTTAAGCAACATTACTTCTAAACTTCTCGCTTGGATCATACTCCGTCGATGGTCTGCCGCACGTGAAGAGTGCACGAATGAGAACCAGGCTGGCTTTAAACCTGGTTGAGTTTGTATCGACCACATCTTCACTCTTCGCCAAACTCTGGAGCACCGACATTCTTTTTGTAGACCCACGACCTCTGTCTTTCTCGATCTGAAAGCGGCTTTTTACTCAGTCGATTGCTCTAAACTCTGGCGCTGCCTTTCCGCGAGAAGTTAATCTCGATAGTATGATCTCTTTATGGTAACTGCCGAAGCCGAGTCCGAGCTTACGGCACTTTTTCGCCCGAGTTCACCAAGGAAAGTGGTGTTCGTTCTCTCCGTTTCTATTTCACTTTGTTATAATTTAATTCTTGAAACTGCCCTGTCCTCATGTGAGGATGGCGGCATCGATTCGCTCTCAGGTGGTAGACCGTATGACCGGAGTATGCAGACGACATTGCGCTACTAAGTGAAGACCCAGGTAAGTTGCAAGCTTTTCTGGATAACTTGAGTGCCAGCGTAGCCATGTATGGTATGCGTTTTGCACCTTCAAAGTGTCAAATATTAC